GGGTTATTAAGGGGGATACGAGGAGCTTAGACTATAGCCTAATAGCTCGTTTGATGGTCCATTAAATTCCGCGAAGTGGTGGTAATCTGAATGAACATCGCGAGCATTCCAAGGTCGCTTTCCCGTGAACGTTAGGGTTTAGGGTACCCTGCTTGGAGGACATCTACCAGAAGCTCGGCAAGTACCAGAACACGATTGGAGTCAAGGATGGTAGCTACTTGAGAGTTCAGCTTGCTCTTTGGCAACAACAGATTATTACTTTTACTATGATTACCCGTATTGTTATTCATACTATTGCTACTATCAGGTTATTTGTCTTCTTATTTGTTTGTACCATTATGGCTGTTATTTTTTAAACTGCCTGGCAGTAAAGTCTTCGGAAAAGGCGACGTGTCAGGCTAGGGGCATGTCCCTGTAGAGCCGATACCTATTAGCAGTACTATCCCACCATAATTAATTCATTTTAGATGTGTGATCGTTATGTGATCGGGCAAGCGGAGGCATACAAGTTATCCAGGTCCTCAGCTTAAGGACCTTACATTTTTGCTTGCCTTCACGTTGCGCACAAGGGAGCATTTGATAGACTAAGTGCGAGAGTTTCCCAAATATCCCCAGAAGACCTATGTTCGCAGTGATGTAGTAAGCAAGGCAGGAGTTTGAGTCGCATGGCTTTGGCACTGCCCTTGCCATTGAATTTAGAAATCAGTTTGTGACATTTCTCGAGAGCCCCTGATGCTGATGCAACGAGAACTGAAACTTAGTGGCTCAGTACCCAACGCCTGGCCGAGACCCATTAACCTTTACACCCCCAAGCGCAACTGCTGATTTGCCTTTCCCCAACTTCATGCGCTTTGAAAAGCTTGTTCCACTGGATATGGGCCTTTCCCAAAATTTCAAGCTCCGTGTTGCGGGAGGGTCCCTACCATATAGCCGAAAAGATGCAGGATAAGTGCCCCGCCGACGAGCTTCGCATGTTCTGGGAAGACACAGACACCGCCAAGCACAGCCGAGATCCTGGGTGGCATTCGGGGGTAAACTTGTCTCTCAGCACATAATGTCAAATTCAGAGGCAGATGAGTAGAGATTGCTTTGTCCTGCTCTACCCCAGAACAGCGAGTGCCTTGACACCTTGCTTTGCCGAATTACTGGTTCCGAGTTGTGATGCTAGACTTTCAAGCGTCGCTCCCCACATGAGCGTGCGAGTCCTACAAGAAAGTACTTCCTCCGGCTGCTTCGAGAGGAGCTTTCACAAAACAAGCCTCTTGTGTGCCGATGGTCAAGGAATCACGAGAGAATAGTAATGCTTAGAGGCCAACCAGGTCGAAACAGTTGAAACCCTTGCCGCGCTAAAGTATTAGGTGAACCACAAGCATGAGATGTGAGCTTTTTGCCTCTGACTGTCATTTACCACCTCAGGGCTCAAACCCAAGGCTTTTTGTCATGCTGCAGGCGGAGCTTTCAGTTTACCCAGCCGCCAACCCCCGACCAGGCAATCTCTCAAACTCAGAGGCAACGCAAGGACTTCTTGAAAGCGACTTTGGAAACGGATCCATCTGGACCCCTACAATATGTCCCCGGAGAATCCTGAGCCCTAAACCTGTATGACTCCAATGTCTTGTGGAGGAATACGGAATCCACGCGTACCTGCAGTACCTGGAGAAGTTTTACATCAAGATCGCCGGCACAGGCTTGCAGAGGATGTAGAGCAGGGTATGGGTGCTAAGGTGTTTGGGAGTGTAGGATGTAGGTTTTAGGGCTTTGAGCTGAAACTTCCGGGTTTTGGATTTGTGATTTGCTTGATTGGCTTCTGATATGCCTGATATGATTCAGCTGCGTCGCTGAAGGGGTAAGCCACCCCAAGCCTTCAAGCCCCACAGGACTTCCTAAGCTCTGCAGCGTGTTGCGGAGCACGACCTACTGCGTTCTGAATTTGGACTTCTTGACGGGATTTCTCTCATGTACCTCAGAACTGAACCTTGAATGCGTAAAGAGCTGCAAATTGGGACCTTCTAGGGTCATAACCTCTGCATAAGGATTCAACACTGCCATCTTTAAACTTCCACGGATAGACGACATGCAGGCTGAAAGAATCGCGAAATAGAACCTCGACCTGAACTCTGGCTAGTAGGGAATGGAGGACTGCATGCTTGTCATAGTCCCCATATCATCCTTCACAAGCTTCAGTCTCTACTAACCACCATAGAACAAGAAGGTGTCTGGAGAGCGGTGCGCCATTCTAGTAGAAAATGGCTGAAGCCAACTACTTGGAGCGTCGGGGAGCTTAATAAGTATAGCCTCCCTGAAGTAGATAGAATATGGCTTTGGGTATATTATAGCAAGATCCCCATATACCCCATGTTCTACCTACTTAAGAGGGGCTGTACACCTATAACGCCTATAAGCCGTGTAGAAAGCCCAGTGACACCCTAGTTGGCCTACTTGTGGGGTAGTTTTCCTTAAATAGGGGGGCCCCAAACATGACCCCAAAATACTAGAACACCCTGTTATAAGGACTCCCAAGCCCCAAACTCTAAACCCAAACCCAGAAAGGTATCCCTCATTTTAGGAAACCTCCATGAAGGCTAGGTTCCCCTGGTCCCCCCACTAGGCTTATCCAGAGCGACGTGTGGAGTTGGCGGGTAGTTAGGGTTTAGGGGTTTAGGGGGCTTAGGACTTGGGGTTCAGGGTGTAGGGTTTGGGGGGTTTGGGCTTTAGGGTTTGGTGGGTTAAGGGTTGATTATTGTAACAGCTCTTGCCTGAAACGCCAAGTTAGCCAAAAATCTGGGTGGGCATGCATACTAGTTAGGGCAACTCAAGTTATTACTGTCATAATTCCTATAGCTCTTACACCTACTATGCGTAGCACGAGTGTCTGTTTGGTAATATGCCTACCCAACTGGTTTGCCGGCTTTTCGGGTGTTTTTCCTACGTCCTGAAGCTCTGAAGCTCTAATCCGGGGCAGGTGGCAATCAGGGAAAGTTCACCTCCAGCGGCGTGTCCGTGGGAGAGTGCAAGCTGTTCACGACGCCGGGGTGCAAAAAGTTCTGAACCACCTTTCCCCCTAGCATGTATATATGGGTTTTATTTATTTTTGAGAGGTCCTTGATGAGTGTATGTGAGTGCGTAGTACTGGTCAAGAGCAAGAGGCTTTGTAAAGCAGGCGCAAAAGATGAGGAAGCCCCGCCAGGACTCAGTCCTTCCCACGAATGTGTGAGTCTTTGAGGTAAACGGTGGTCAGCTTGCTTTGTGACGCGGTTCAGGTTCAGAGTTTAGGGTGGCTAGTAGGGAATGCTCAGATGGTCTTCGGTCTTTGGGCCCTTGAGTTCTCGAACAAGTGGCATTCCAATGCAGTTCGTGGACGCTTTAGCAAGTGCTAGACTCCTTGGTCCGTGTTTCCGTTTGGGGTCATTGAAGGTTGTATTTAAGGTTATAACCCATCTAAGGCTATTTCAGCCCTTCAATGGCTACATAACATCGAAGAGGCCTTTGTTTTACTGTGTTTTGTGGGGACTGATGGGAAGTATCAAGCAGGAGCCCTATGAGAGAAACTGCTCTCCTGCAATTGGTTCGGGAAAGCTAGGCATCTGCCCACACACAGTGCTAGTCCTTCCACGTCATCTGATTCTAGGTAGGGAATAACGCAAATTATGCGAGTTGATATTTGCTCAGGGATTTAGCAGGGGACTCGATAGTCATAACGTTGATTTATCTATACTGCCCGCACGCCAAACATGTTCAGCACCCCCCTCAGCTGTTAGTGTGAGACGTTCCCTTCAGCATCCTTGTGCGTTATTGTCGGGGGATGCGTTCATTATCTGGTGGGTAGGCATGCTTGATACCGGCAACGATGATGCTATGTGGGTCCAAGTCTTGAGATTGTAGAGTCCTTTAAGATGAGGCCTTCAATATTCCACAGCTCTGAGAGGCCCCGTGTTGCCCTTCATGAACAACGTTGCTCAAGTACTAGAGTTCTCCTTCCTGAGCCAACGCGAGGGAATTCGATTTGCATGACAAGGGCGAACAATTCCCAAGCGAGCACTAGAGACTGGTCAACATCAGTATCTGGCCAGACTTATGGCGGGAGCTGCCATATGATGACTTCACAGAAATCCTTGATAGCTTAGTAAACTAGTTGTGTGATCCATAGATGTGCCTTCTAGCAGTTTTCCGGATGCAAGCTCCCCGGCCATATAGTTTACTGCTTATTTTTCGTAAGTAATATTCAGAGCCACCTGTACTAAGTTAAAAATGGAGATACATGGCAAAGAGCGTATTCTCTCAGTTGTGTTAATTTTGCCCCTGGCTCTACCAGCAACAGATCCTTCAGCTTAAAGCTTTCTCCAAGGATGCTCCATTGCCACTGGGCCTGCAACAGTGCGGAAGGGCTTCGGATTTAGAGTTTTTTTTATTTCATAGGTATGTAAGCAAGTTGTCGAAGCTTTTGAGGGAATCCATGCTGCGTAAGATCTCTGCATATGACTTTGCAGGCGGCACGGATGAGGGATGCATCCGTTGCATACATGATGCATGCCTACGGTCCTACGGTTTGAGGTTTTGAGCTTGCCTAGCCGCCTCACCCGCTCTCAGACTCAAGGTAAGGAAAACCTCAAGTTATGACCAGCAAGTATCCTGTAGTCGTGGACAGCTACGATTGCAGAGAACATGCCTAGCCCAAGTTCCGTTTGCAGTGGCACATTGCCCCCCTCTTTGCTTTGACTGCCTGTTGCACCCAGAGCCATTGGCACTGAGATGTTCAACACTTTCTCAAAGTTGCGCCGTCTTTGGTCCCTATGCCACGGATCCAAGATCTTGGCAGATGTTCGAAGACTTATACGCTTCAAATCGTCTCTGCCGACTGAAGGCTAGCTCATCATCCTGCCTGCTTTTTTATTTCGCTCAAATTCTAGACTAATGAGTAGCTCCATCAGAACTAGTCTTTGTTAGACTACGTTGGCGTGTGTGGGGGGGATGCCTCTGCGCAAATATCTTTGTAGTACAGCACAAAGAGCACGTTGTAATAAGATTCTACGTTTTTTGTTATTCACCTGCTCAGTCAGCGCTCCCTTCCAAACCGTCCTAGCTCCCCCCCAAGCAGAAACCAGACCTTGTGCAACTTCTAAAACTCCAACAGCAATAATTTCTGTACTGGTCGGCAGGCATTGTAATGATAGTAGCCATGCTATAGTCAAAGCAGCTGAGTGCAATTGTTCTGTAGGCCCCGCGAGGCCCATGTAATCTTTGCACCAGTACTTGCTTGTTTGAGGCCTTGTCCTCATCAAGCCCAGCGCCGCGTGGACGTCGGATTTAAACGTTTAGACAAGGAAGTCTCCACAAATGAGGAGTCCCCTGTTAGGTGGTTCCTACAGCAACGCTTCATAGTTTATAGTATTTGTAGGTACATACAGTAGGGTGGCCCTTTTTCAGAAAGGCCCATATGGGTGATCTCCTGATATCCCCCTGGCCCCTTGGGTACGCTGTTTTGGGAAGCCCCCATATATCTCAGCATGCGCAACTTGATTGCTGAATACACAAAAAGTTTACAGTAATTACCTTCCCTTCATGAGGCACGTACGTGTTGTAGGTCAGCTTTTTGCATGGTTCCAACATGTTCCAAATTCAGTTTCTTGCAAAGGTCCTGGCGCCGTATCCTGGACTGCAGACTTTCTACAATCGGTTCAAGGCCCTGGCAAAGACGCAGGACATCATGCGATGCATTCAACGGCGGGGGCTAAACTCACTGTTTTCCGCTGACAACCTTCAATGTCGGTTGTGGTTTGAAGTTGGGACGTTGGGCTTTTTGCAGGACATTCTGGAGAAGGGGGGTCGCTTCCCGGGCCCCTTCAAGCAGTACTTCATTGCCTGAGCTGGCACAGCAAGGAGGGCTCTTATGCCCCCAGTGCCCAGGTGCAAACGAAGCTGCATGCTCAAGGTACCTCAAACTCTAATCCCTACCTGTGAATACCCGGGGACGAAAAAAGCAGGCGTTCAGAAAGCCCGGAATAAAACAGCCTCGCAATAAATCTGGCCGCCTTGTGAACCCCTCCGGAACCTATTCCTGAGAAAAAAGTGGGCGCTTCCAAAATGCATGCTGCACCTAAATTTGGGAGGAATAGATGGCTGATCAAAAGCCCAACTGAGATGATCGTGTATTCTGATTAGCGCGCTTCCTTGATTCTTTTGCCTCCGGGAAAGCAGCCAAGTGGAGACCTATCAAATAACGTTCAAGAGTGCGACGCATGAGCAATGCACTTCCAACTCTCCTGGACACTCGGGCAACACGTCCCACAAAGTCTTCATCAAGTTGGACAGATGTCCCGAGTGGGTTCGGGATCCAGTTCAGAGCAGAAGCTTTCAAAACCAGATCGCGAAACGCGTGGTGAAGAT